GATAGGTCAAAAGCGCCACCTTTGCGCTAGCCTTCCAAAAGCGCTTGCGGTTTTGTGAGCGGTCCCCGGAGGCCCCCACCGCGGTCATTCAACTTTTCGACAGAGTTTAGTTGGGCAGTATGGATACGCGATGGCAATACCCGTGGACGTATACACTAAGTGAGCCAACAGGTTGCGGCAAAACCGTGTTTGTCAGACGGTTTTGACGAGACTTTGACTGTATGAGTGATACTCGATTTGAGCGGGTCATTTTTTGTTACAGTGAGTGGCAGCCAAGTTATCGCGATTTCGGGAGTAATATTGAGTTTCACGAGAGATTACCACAAAATAGCGATTGGGCGGGTGATCATAGATCAAAACTGGTTGTTATTGATGTTCGATGCGCGAATCATCCGGTAGTAGCGGTGCCGTCGACTTATTTACTGAAGGTACTCATCACAACAATTTGAGCGTAATTTTTATTACGCAAAATATATTTTATTAAGGTAAGGGTCAACGTGATATATCGCTAAACTCGCAATACATTGTTATGTTTAGAAATTTAAGAAATCGCGCGCAAATACGAGAAGCGTAAAGAGGAGGAAAGGCAGCATACCGAGGTTATCGAAAGCGTACCGGAAAAGTTTCATCAAAAAGCTGCACTTATACAACGATTGGCTTTGGTGGCTTTCGCATACCACAGTCAAAAATTGTCGATCTGGTGAATGATGCCTTGAGGAACAGGAAAAAACGCTCACCAATGGGCCGTGATCAGTTTGCAGTGGCTATTCGTATGGCAAACATTCCGCAAGAGTGTATCGGAAACGCTCAAGTATTAAAATTACTGATCGACGACGACGACAACGACGACGATAAATTAAAATCGCCAAATAATAGTCCGAGATTTACGTCAAACATTGGAAGTTTTTTTGATGAAAGTGGTACTGAATTAACGACGTCACCGAAAAATAGAAAAAATTTTTCAGAAAGTTGTGCCATCGTCGAATCAAGTACAAACATGGAGTCAATTGAGCGGAAAAGTGACCAAGACGAAGAAACAGAAGTAAAACTTGAGGAGGAGGAAAAAAATAGTGCTCTCGGCGCTTTAATCGACTTAATACGCTTAAGATACATGTACCTGGATACAAATTTTGCGGTCCTGGAACAAAGCTATCGGAGCGCATTGAGCACGGTGATGTGGGTATAAATCCCTTGGACGAAGCATGTCGTCAGCACAATCTTGCCTACACTAAGGAGAAGAAGGGTCAACGTCTAAAAGCCGATCGGGCGTTGGCTGAATTTGCTTTTTCGCGTATGCTTGCCAGAGAAACACCGCCAGATAAGTGAACAGTCGCTTTACTGACAGCACGTTGCATGTGTAGCAAGATTACATTTGAGAAGTTTTTTTCACACATCAAGAGAGCCATTGGACCTAAGTCTAAGAAAAAAAAAGAATAATGCATAAGAGTTTGCAAAAACTTTACTACAAAGCGGCGCAACCAACTGCATACGCTGGTGGTAACAAACTTGTAAGTGCTGTGAAAAATAAACTTTTACGATCGAACGTTATTAGTTGGCTAGAGAGTCAAGATACCTATAATTTACATAGACCTATAAGAAATCACTTTCCCAGAAGAAGCTATAACGTACGTAATTTGGACGACGTATGGGAAGCTTATTTAATGAACTTGAGAACCTTAAAAACTTACAATGATGGCTACGTTTATGTTCTCGTTGTCATTGATGTCTTCAGCAAATACGCTCGGGCGGTACCTATCTTTTGGTACCGCGGTATTTATATTTCACAATAGAATACTGTTTAAATTTCTGTGTAAAAGGCTCGACATGCTGATTACTGGTTTTGATTTCTACGATGTGATCACCACCCTCTCCGTAGAGACTCCTTTCCTCAAGTCTTACGGTATTTTTTGCTCAGTAAACATTATACATACGTGTGGGTGTTCGTATGTAACTTTTTACATGTTACGTATCGTCGTTTTGTCCAATGAAAGAAAACATACGTAGTGACAAATGTTGGTATGTGTCTCGCGTATAAGATTGTGCTGACTATGAAACTTTAACTTACCACAATATTGGTACGATGTGTACCACCAAGTCAGTTGACAATATGCTTCCGGAGGATAAGGAGCCTTCGAAAGCTGAGACAATTTAGAATCGTGACGTTGTAACCTAGATTGCGCGTGAACCGCAGCCTGATTTAATTTTTTTTTAAATTTTACTGGCGTGCCGTGAACGACCATACCAATTTACTAATTTTGCATGTAATCAGTGAAATTTTGTTGTTTCAGACTTGTTTTAGAGTGTATCAAACTAGTTTAGTTAGTTTTGATATCGTGGCAAGAGATTTTAGACTCGTTAATCCACAAAGGCTTTCCAAAAAAACATTTTACAGGGCCCGAAATAATCGTCAACCAGTGCGTGCAGTGATTTATTTCAGTCAAAATAATTACATATTAATAAAACATTGTTTAATGAAGAAATATAAAAGGTTAGTTAAACGCCGATACATTTTTTTAAAAAATATGGCTGAAAACAATTTTTGTTCCTTGCCTTAAAAAAAAAAAGACTATTGTCTGATGGAAACAACCCTGTTTTATTACCTTTCGAAAAAAAATTTGTGAATAACGTGAATGAAAATAGTGATAGTGAGTGGGACAAAAATACCGATATAATTATTTATAGTGCTAGTAATACGGTAAGTGACAATAGTGACAGTGAAAATGATAAAAAAAACAGTCATGGCATTAAACAGTGATGAAAATAGCGTCATTTCTGTCGGAAACGATGAATTTGCTGTCTACAGTTATTTTGATTACCTGGCGTATTTAAATAATGTATCGGATAATAATAAAAATGATTCGATTTCGTCTGTAGAGAAATACCTCATAATAGTGAAGAGTACGGTAGTGACAGTGACAGTGTAAATAATTTTAAAGGATTTATCAATGCTAACTATGACTGTAAAATATGTGAACAAAACCTAATCTCAGTTCAGAAAAAATAAAAGTTAGACGTGGTGACAAGTGTGTATGGCATAATAAAATTTATTACAGAGAAAACAAAAAAGCTGAATATGTGTGGGAATTTTATAGAAATTTTAATGATTCGTTGTGCCAAAAATGCCAATCCAAGTTGAATGATTATTAAAAACATGTATTTGCTTTGCATCGCAGCTACCCATCGTTGTCATCATAGATAAAGGTAAGCATTTGATAATTTTTTTTGGCATACAAATTTTCGATTAAGTAAAAGCTAAGCCAGAACTATGACGAGAACTTTTATACTTTCTATTTCTCTCACTCTATCTTCATACGGTAATTTCTACTCTCTCCAATCAATTTAATAGAATAAAACACATACATGTATGCAAACGGGGCTCCTGTAATCTTACCCGTCACAACAAACGCCCACCAGTATACATTTTTCGTATGTAATAGGATGTTTATAATATTATACTGCGTCGCTCTCTGCATCTCTAAGATTTTGTATGACTTTCTCTCTCTCTCTCTCTCTTTCCACGTCTCTTTCTCTTTTTCCACAACGTTTAGATTTCGTATTTTCTCCCCTCCGCTCGACAATTTTTTATACTTCCACCTCACAAAAACTTACATGCAACACTTTGCCTTCGTCAAATCAGGCCCCTACTCGAGTGGTGGGGGTTTGTTTTGACGAGCCAAAGTGTTGCAACAACTACTTACAACTATACATTCTGAAATTATAGTCCCTCTGAATGATTGGCACTGAACTATTGATTAACCACTTTTTTATTCTGAATAAGTAACAAATTAATTGATTAATAAATTAAAGATGAGCATTGAGGCAAAATGCCAGTCTTGGTTATCAGAATCAAGTAATCTACAGTGAAAATCAGACCGTTAACTATTAACCTAATTGGAATTAAAGAAATTGATGTACATTATACTGAGAAGCAAAGTTCTTTGAATAACGAAAGAATGCATATAAGTTTCAGGACAAAATCGATGACAGATTAGTGCTAGAGAAGGGAACCTAGATGATCGTCTGAGGTTATTTCCATTATAATACAGAGTAAAGTGTAATACTAAATATTTTAGGCGTGATCGTGCTAAAAAATTAAAATCCAGCAAGCTAAGGAAGTATTTCCTTCGCGTAGCGACAGAAAGAAATCTCAGAGCTAGTCGGTATGGAGTGGCACGTGAAAATCAGCCCATGTTGTTATATACAAACCTCAGGCAGGCATTCATGACTGTGTGCAGTTTTAGATCAGATGATGTGTCAACTGAGTAATAAGCTGCTGACATTTAGTCAAACAAGGGGAAGACAAGGCTCATTGTCAACTGTTTACGAAGTAAGATAATGCGTATCAACAGTGTTTAGCAGAATTAAGCGAGCAATAAACTTAGTTCGAGAAGTAATTTGCGTGCCACTTCCAGTACAATGACAGTGTAACTCAAAGGCCTAAGTTTTTCACCTCACGAACGTATAGAAGATGCGCGGTGCTATCTATTACAATCTTAAAATATTTAGAGTAATTAATATTGCGCCGAAAATTACAACGTTATGACTCTTATCTTCACAAAATTATGAAGTAGCCTATTTAAGATTATCCACAATGCCACAGCCTGCAAATCGCAAATTGCCTTTTCTATGCTTCTGTACAAATTACCAGGAGATCGAGTTTAGAGTTTAAAGTTATCACATGTTTAGAGAAACAAAGAACCACAGGCAAATGATTTATAAAAATGAGGAAAAAAAGTGGGCCAAGTATACTGCTGGCACCTCAGTAAATGGTGAAAGCCATTCAAATGCTGCAATCCTATCTCAAAAAGTATTTGATATTGTTAAACTGTCTTACTGACTCATAAAAATACCACTAAAGAGTTACAGATAAAATTTTTTTTATACAGGGTGTTTAGACTTTATATGATAATTTTTCCATAAATATGTACAAGTAAAGGTAAAAATATTAATTTATTATTAAACGTACAGATTTATGCACAATTTTATTTACATTTGGAAGCTAAGGCTTATGTTTATTCCTTGGATGACACCGTCAGTAGTATAACTTTTATGTCGAAAATTATGATATAATTTTAAGCTCCTTGTTAATGACATGTTCTAACACTTTTCCTATCATTTTTTTGGGCTCCCATCTTGGAGAAAATGGGAAATTATCAACCATTTTAGAATACGCCTTACCTTGATCAGATTTGTGATGTAGACTATGCATAGATAGGAGAAACTGCTCATGAGGAAAACGGAGCGGTAGATTAAAGTTCAAAACAAAATGCTGCTCCAAATGTTCTAACAGTAAAGAGATTCTTCTGTAAGTTGTCACATCATATTCTATAATAGATTCATGTTGTAAAACCATCAGTGATGCAATAAAAATTTTACGTTCCACCATACTCTGTAAATGTCTATCTATCTGTAATATTATATAAAGAGGAAGTTAAAATATCTATTTAATACTATTTTACTACGAATTTACATTTACATGTATGCAAATTAATTATTAATAAAATTGATTTCTTACACCTAAATAATATCTAAAAAAAATTTTTGAATACATTTTATTTCAATAAAATCGTTCAGCTCTAAATCAGTACATATTTAATTTAATAAAAATTTGTCACTGGTTCATCCACAATAAATTTTTATTAAAAATGCAACGTTGATCAAATCATCAGAGACAAATTCAGTTCATCCCTGATCAAACTTCGAAAAAATTGAAAATGGAAGATCGGAATTTAAGCCAGGACTGAAGGGATATCGAGCTGGGATATTAGAGGATAAAAAGTAACGGCCTATTTACTGATTTTCATTTATATAATACAATAAAATATAATGGAAGGCACAGTGACAACAAAAAATGTAATACAACAATGTTTTCTCGAAAGTAATAAAAAGTAGATAACTTAAAAGTGATTCTGAGCATTAATAATATGTTATATTATTCATTGCATGATATTAAAAGGTTTCTGAGGAGTAGCAGCTTAACTGTTCTATATGATAGGCGAAAGCTAACTAATTCTAAGTCCACCACTCGCAACTCATCAATAGCGTACAACGTAATACAAGTACTTGTTCATGGTAATACTTATCGTAATAGATGACGCACGCGTTAGATAACTGATACGCATATTAGTAGGGGCACTAGATCCTTTAAAATTGCAAAAAATTGTGGTCTTTTTTATTATTACAAATTTGGCCTTAAAATCACTAGAAAAATGTGAATAATGACGTAAAAAAGTATTGACAATGAGCTTGATTGGAAACGTTGATTTTTATTGCAAAATAATTTTATTTTTCACTTATTATTGATTCAAAAACAACATATTCAGTAATCGAAATTAAACTGAAATTAAATATGTTTTAGTATTTGGTATGTTTAACAATATGCCACAAGTCTGATCGAAAATTTGGAACCAGCAATCTTTTGCAAAATTGTTAATTTCAAATTCCAATTTCTTATTATCGCTGACCTGCTAAAAATATTGCTATAAAACTTAATGAAATCGATATTTATAAACAATATTGTTGTGTTAGTAAGGAGGTGCATCGCGGGAATGATTAACACTTATAAGTTTAAGGACTTCTATTCAAGATATCGCTTCCAGAAGACAAAATCGTGCGTGTATTGCCTTTTGAGGCTGATCACATACTAACCGAAAGCCTCTTTCATTTCTTTTCCCTTCCCCTGACCCCCACTCCTTTCTCATTGTGTGTTCAGTGTATAAGAGTATCAATGAAGTCTGCACGTTGCCGTATATTACAATTCAATCTTCAATTATCAAGTTCAATCTATCAAGCATCTGCTTAATGATAGTTTATATTTTGTGTTATTTACATACAATACAAAATATTTAGAGTCTCATATGTTTATTTGTTTATTTATTTGTCTATTATTGATGATTTTTTTTCATAGAAACTTCTTATCGTCATGTAGTCATGTAAAAAGAAAATTCTTCCTTGTCATCGTCCTACCGGCTTTGCCACCCCCCCCCCCCATACAGTCGAGCACCTACCAGCACTCATAGCTACTTGTTTTCTAATTGGTTTTGATAATATTTTATTAATTACGATAAATCCATCAGATACAACATACTTATAATTTTATATGATCAATGTTAATTTATTTATCTATAAGTGTTATAATAGTAACTTTATACAATCTTATTACGATGTATTAAAAGAAAAGAAAATTTTTTCGTCCTCGTCGAATGAACTGCACTACTCGTTATAGTCGAGCAACTTCTGGCGCTCATACTTACTTGCTTTCTTATTGGTTTAATTTATATATCGTGACCAACGATAATTTTACTTATACAAAGTATTTGTATTTTCTCATGTGTTTGCTGTTTGTTCATCCGTCTGTTATTGTTGTAATTAAAGTTCCTATTGATATTTTTAAATTATATATATNTTGTGTTGAATGTTAATACTACCACAAAATAACAAGTAATTTCATAAATAAAAACATCATTCTATGTTACAATATTTTTTGATTGCATAAAAAACACTTATAACGCAATAAAGCTTTTGATGAATTAGATAATCTGAACAATAACTTTCTGTTTTTTTAAAAAAATAGTCATTTAACTTTCATGTTGAATGTAAATACAACCTTAAAATAACAAGTAATTTCATCAATAAAAAATATCGTTATACGTTACAATATTCTATGATTGTATAAAAAACACTTAAAATGCAATAAAGCTTTTGATAAATTAGATAATCGAAACAATAACTTTGTGTTTTTTTTTTTAAATAGTCAGAGAATATAATTTTTTCTCTAAAATAGCCATATGAATATTCGCCTCTCTGCCCGCTCCACGCACCAACCCCCTACTGTTCTAACTTAAAAGGAGAGTCCTTAAATTTCATCTGTTAGTGGGGAGAGGTTGGTGCCCAGAATTTCGTGAGGAAGAAGAGATTTGATGTCCATCGTTAAGTATGAGTTGTATATTTATCAGTAATTTTCCACACCACCCAGAAGGTACTATTGTGGCACGTTGAGAGTTTTTTTTGAACTCTCCGTTATGTTTGGAGAAAAAAGGTATATATAAGCTTTGCTAGTTTTGACAACTTTCATTTCATTTAAATATAATTAAAAAACACCAGTCATTTAAATTTTATCTTAAATGTAAATACAACCTTAAAATAACAAGTAATTTCATCAATAAAAAATATCGTTATACGTTACAATATTCTATGATTGTATAAAAAACACTTATAACGCAATAAAGCTTTTGATGAATTAGATAATCTAAACAATAACTTTCTGTTTTTTTTTTTAAATAGTCAGAGAATATAATTTTTTCTCTAAAATAGCCATATGAATATTCGCCTCTCTGCCCGCTCCACGCACCAACCCGCAGCGGAAAAGTTTGAAAGTTTTTTTCGTAAATCATTTATTACTTAAAATTCATCTATATTACTTGAATGTCATTTTTTAAGAATATTGAAAAACAGCAAATGTAAAAATTGATTTACTTCATTGTTTCTTACTATGTACAGAAATAAATGTTTAAAATTTTTGCACACATTTCATTATTATTTATAAATTTCAAAAAATTTTATAAAATCTACCCATGGTTTCAATTTTCTTCAAAAAACGCTTTCGTCAACATTCTGAAATAAATAAAATAATTATATATTACCAAATTTGTTAATGTTACCATATTTATTGATACTGGCAAAGCATCAATTTTGTTTCCAAAGGGGATGACCAGTCATAGAACTTTTAGACTTCCTTTAGATCCTAATAATATAGAGAGTACATTTTTAGAATTCGAGTCAAATGAAAAAAAATACAGAGAAGTTGATTTAATGATTTGGGATGAGGCTTTAATGATTCCAAAAAAGCATTGGAAATAGTAGAAAGATCGTTGAGAGATGTATGTAGTACTGAAAAATATTTTGGAAATAAATTATTTATTTTAGGATGTGATTTTCGTCAGATTCTCCCAGTGATGAGAAACGGTAATAGAAAAATTTTACTTGAACAAACTGTTAAATCTTTATTTTTATGGAACTCATTTCAAATTTTAAAATTAGAAATCAATATTCGTTCTAACGATACAAGATTTCCAAAATTATCATTAAAAATTAGGAAAGGGGAAATAAAACTTTTAACATTCCTAAAAATTGGATCTTAAATGATGAATGTTCTCAAATATTTTTTAATATCTACAATTGTTCCATGAATAGTGTTATACTTACATCGCATAACGAGAAAACCTCTTATTTGAATAATAAAATTCTTAAAAAATTAACTGGAGAAATTAAAACTTACTATAGTATAGATAACGCAATTTATAGAGGGGTTGGTAAATCAGACAATAATATTCATTTAAATTTTTCGATGGAAATGTTGAACAATATTCATAAAGGATTACCACCTCATGAACTAAATCTAAAAATTGATACAATAGTGATGTTACTGAGAAAAGCAAGTACATGAGATGGACTCTGTAATGGAACACGTTTACGAATCACAAAATTATATCAGTATAATATAGAAGGAGAAATAATAACTGGAGAAAAAATTGGAAATAGAGTCTTCATTCCAAGAATAACATTAGACACAGGAAACTCCTCAACATTACCGTTTATTTTGTATCGTAAACAATTTCCAATCGTTGTTGCATTTGCTATGACAATAAACAAATCCCAAGGTCACGGTTTCGATAATGTAGGTTTGTATTTTAAAAAACCCTTATTTTCTCATGGTCAATTATATGTGGCTTTATTAAGATACAAAGATAAGAATAATTCATTTATTCAAGTAGAAAGGCAAAAAAATACAGAAATAGAAAATATTGTTTGGAAACAGATTTTGACGTAATTTATTGACTTTACTTGATGATTTTTAAGATTGATGGGCAATATTTATGGTAATGAATTAAAATTCATTGATTATTATTTCAATATTGCATAGATCTCTTAATGTTATGTCTTCTATTTTAAATGCATTTTTACAAATCATTAATTCCTCATCCTAAATAATTGAATTAACTATAATTATTTTATAACACGTACACGTTAAAGCAATAGGTAAGAGACAGTCGGGTTCTCTAAATTGAGATAATATATATATACATATACATATAAAATATTGATACATCTAAAACATGTATAAATTTATGATATACATAAAAAAAGTATACATGTGTATCCTTATACATATTATCAGAATTTACGATTAGGTGCAGGGAGATCTATCTCTACGTGGTTATGATAGAGCTTAATTTAATATGTTATTCACTATTTAAATTAGGCGATACTTCCACGGTTATTGTTATTTAATAATTATGTAACGTTTTAATTTATATATGTAGTTGTATCATGTCATAAATGTATGTATAAGAATGAACGAAAGTTACGTTGTTTTAAAATAATAGTAACACAAAAAAAGTTAAATGC